CCTTGTCACAAAACTGACTCCACTCACAAGGAATTCACATTTCAATGGGAACCCAAATGCTAAACAATGAACCCACAAAATAAGTACACTTGCTATGCAACTTGGCCATCTTCACGCCCTCCTTAACATGAGTTTATCTGCCATAACTTACTTCATCATTCCGAAAATATTATTTTAGAGATGTTTCAGTCAAGATACTATGGGAAATTATTAATCTATCGAGGGACATTTTCTCAGGCTTCTCCCATAGTAATTTCTCCAATGTGAGATCTGAGCTAGGAAAGGCTAAGTTGCAAACTTATTTAATTTTTTTTAGCATAAGGAGGTGATGACTTTAAAGAAACATGTATTACAGTTGCTTAATGTAAAAATGTGGAATCTAATTAAGCTCATAGATGTTTAGATTGGATATTAGGAAAAACTTCTCTACTGAAAGGGTTGTCAAACACTGGAATAGGTTGCCCAGGGAGGTGGTTGAATCACCATCCCTGGAGGCATTTAAAATAAGTGTAGATGTGGTGTTTAGGAACATGGTTTAGTAGTGGACTTGCCGTGCGGTATTACTGGTTGGATTTGGTCATCTTAACAGTCTTTTTCAACCTAAATGATAGATTCTATGACTAGTGCTCTTTTGAGCCTTGAGTAGCACAAGACATGTTTGTGCTATAAGACTCTGTTCAGAAGTTACCGAAAACCACATACTATCTCCCATCACCTTCAGTCTGGAGCAGCTCTATAGCATATTGTTGTTTGAAGTTCTACCAGCATAAGTTGAGATGTCTCTGGTTACTCAGGAGGTTGATGGGCTCTGTTTCTCTTGCTAGGTGTTTGGAAAGGATACAGCACAAAGAACTAAAGCCAGGTTCTTCTTTACTAGAATAGCAATAATGAAAAGGTACAGAGGGCTCACTGCAACGCCCTAATGACTCAGTGATTCGTAAATGTTGGAAAATACCTCAGGAACAATGGTGCTAATGGGAGTGACTGTAGGGTGGCTCCACTTTGTGCCTAGACATCAGACACCCTTCCTGAGCAGATATGGTACACAAAGCCTAGACCTGATGACCTGGGCTTTTGCAAAAATCTCTGAGAATGTGACATAAACTAATACAATTTCTTCTTTCTGAACTGCCAGAGGGATGGGATGTCATCCAGAGGACCTGGACAAGCTGGAGAAGTGGGCCCAGGTGAACCTCATGAGGTTCAACAAGGCCAAGGGCAGGTCCTGCACTTGGGCCAGGGCAACTGGAGATATGAATACAGCCTGGGGGAAGTCATGCCAGAGAGCAGCCCTGTGGAAAAAGACCTGGGGGTACAAGTGTATCAAAAGCTGGACATGCAATTGCAGCCCAGAGGCCAACCACATCCTGGGCTGTATCAAAAAAAGTGTCGCCAGCAGATCAAGATAGGTGATTCTGCCCCTCTACTCTGCCCTGGTGAGACCTCACCTGTGTCCAGCTTGGCAGCCCCCAACACAAAAAGGATGTGGAGGACTTGTCGGAGTGTGACCAGAGGAGGGCAAGGAAAATTATCAGAGGGCTGGAACACCTCTCTTATGAAGACAGGCTGAGGGAGCTGGGTTTGTTCAGCCTGGAGAAGATAAAGACTCCGGTGGGACTTTATAACAACCTTCCAATACATGAAATGATCCTATAAGAAGGCTGGGGAAGAGCTGTTCATGAGGGCATATAATGATAGGACAAGGGGTAGTGGTTTCAAGCTAGAGAAGGGTAGATTTAGGTTGTACATTAGGAAAAAGTTATTTAATATGAGGGTGGTGGATCACTGGAACAGGTTGCCTGGAGAGGTGGTTGGGGCCCCATTCCTGGAGACATCCAAGGTCAGGCTTGATGTGGCTCTGAGCAATCTCTTCTAGTGTGAGATGTCCCTGCATAGGGACAATTGTTGGTGTTGTATTGTTGGACTAGATGGATTACCTTTGGAGGTCCCTTCCAACCCAAGACATGCTATGATTCTATTAACTTTACCAACTGCACACACAGCAAACAGGACTACAAGATCACAACTGCAACAAAACTACCACTGCAGAAGGCAATCAGAGCAAAATTACACACCAGCACACTGGGCAAAGAAGGTGATTTGATATTATGGCATGAACAGAAGAATAGTGCAGACATGAAGACCCAGTGGCCAGACCTCAGGTATTAACTTCCATTTTACACTTTTGAAAAAAAATAAAAATTATTAATGAAGTATGATTTCAAGAGGAGAGGAAACACACACTGAGAATATTGCTGGATTCCTTACTTTCAGCTTTGAGTCAGTGTTACCAGATTTCTTGAGGTTATACGGTTATGCCCTTTTATACAAGATGACACAGGCAGGAGGATTTCTTCCCGGGATGAAAGGAGGGTTCTTTAATCCCTTAAACTACCTGCCTCCCAGCAACAGCAAACAGGAGAACTAAGCCTTCAAATTATGGACTGAGAGCATCTGGAGGGAGCTTTGCAAGGAAAAGTTGACAGCAATTGGTGAAAGTTCAGGAATTCCACAATAAGGCCCTAATATACCACTGAAAAACAGTCCTAGAAGAGGATAACCAAGAAAAGAAAGTGAGGAGATTTTAAGATTAGACTCTTCCAGGTGACTTGTCACTACATAGCCTATGTCTTGACTCTGGATCAGATTAACAAAGTACTTCTGTACACACTTCTTTTGACACCATTTGCTCTGTGCAGACTGAAGGTCAGAAGATACATATGATTAGTAGTTAAAGACTTTTTTAAAAGTCTGACTATTGAATTAAAAAATCTATGTGTAATCTTTTTATCATTTAGCAGAATAAACAAATGCCATTCTGTACTAATGTCCTTTACAGGCCTGGAATTCTGATTTCTTCTGAAGTTAAATGATGTACATACTTTACTACGATTTCAACTGCTGGAAAAGAATGTCTGTTTTTCTTGCTTGTACAGACATAGCAGTAGATATTAAGATGGATATTCTTAATATTTCTAGGAGAATGCTAATCTATTTATGCATGCACTGCTATGAAATACAATCTTCCAGGAAGTGTAGTCAATAAATGTATTAAAGCTGAAGTGATTATATGTACAGTGATTGTAAAATGTTATTTTTATTTGCAGTCTTTCATACGACCTGCACTGGTATCAGGTATGAAAAGACTTGGTTAAATCAATCCACATGAGATTTAAATCAGTATCAGCCCACATTTTAGTATTTAAACTGCTAAACTGAAATATAGACATTACACACCAAACCAAGCTGCTACTTTAACCATGCTATTTAAATTACACCCTTAGTTAAATAAGTAATTTTTGAGCACACAATTCAGATAATAGATCACTATTATTTTCAGAGAGAAAATTCCATCTTCCTTTGGGAAAACTGATGTAGAGATTGCACTTGATCAACTGTAAAAGCATAGGTAATACAATCCCTTAAAGTCTGGTTCATATGAAGAGTGATCAGTTAATAAAGAGCAGTCTAAAGAGGACAAAGTGCCAATAAATTGTCCTGTTCCTGTGCTATTTGACTCCTCTATGCACATGCAAATTGGACAACCTTCTTTATGTTTGTATTGTATAGGAAAAGAAAGTTCTTTTGCTTTATGCAGCATTTACATTTACATGAAAAAATGAAAGGTTGTTGTTTTTTTTTAAAGGACCTGATAGAAAACAAACATGATTAAAAAGCTCACAATACTTAACTGACTTAGAACCTTGATTTTCAAAAATGATTTAGGCTTTGAAAGGACCATTTTCACAAGTGTTATAATATTATTTAGTGTTTTGAACTTACTTTACCACATATAATTTATCTATTTTTATAAATAAATAAATAAATACTTTTAAAACTCTGGAGCACATTGCTGTTTTAGTGCTCAGCACCAACATCCAATAGATTTAATTCAATTCCAGAATCTTTCTGAAATAAGCAAATGTCAAGTCTGCACCATATAGATTGAACATACAAATCCAGTCTGAGGTTTAAATCTAAGCCCAGTGCACAGGTTCGTACTGAAATGCTAAAAGAGAGAAAATACTGTTCACCCCTGTATATATTGTTATTATAAATATGTGCAAAATTAAATGAGGTAAACATTTTCCATACCAATGATAATGCCAAAAGGTCTTTTGAATCTGATGTTCCATTAAAAAAGAAAATTGTCATCCTTTACCTTGAAGCACAGGAGAAGTCACACCAGTAGTACATCAATATTAATCTGCTACTACATTTCATATCTGATACATTACTTCAGTGTATGGGATGGGTTTTTTTAAATTCAGTTGTTTTAAATAAAAGCCATTGGGTGCTAAATGATCTATGCAGAATTTATATTGCAAACTATTAGTGGAAGAAAGAAAATATCTACTCAATAAGGCATAATATTTCAAGCCTGCAAAACAAGGTCTGGTACCACTCTCACTTCTTTCAGTCAGTAGCATCTAATTCTTGTGGGAACCTGAGTAGTTATTTTTCACATATTTGCTTAAACTAAACATTAGATGACCTTGCAAATGTAAGAAAATGACAAAAATTAATTTCACCTACCCTTAGCTTTCTAAAAGCTGGGTTCCTAATCTGCATCTTGAGTCACAGGAGAATCTAAAGACTGTTTCATCCCATGGGTGAATAATTATGCCCCCTCTCTT